AGATAAGATATTCTGAGTCTTAGCAGCATGGACTGTCCAAGGCCAAGTCTCCTTCCAGATTCAGCCACTCCTCGGGGGGTCAGCCTTTGTGGTTATGGTCTTTGGCTCCTTCTGCATTCAGATATGCTGTCTGGCTCGGCTGACCCAGATACAGTCTAGCAGACAGACAAAAATGAACCTGTGAAGAGGACTGCAAGTTCAAGGCCAGCCTCAGCAACTTAGTGAGGCCCCAAGCAACTTAGTGACACTCTGTCTCAAAATAAAAATACATACATAAATAAAGAGCTCTGGGGATGTTGCTCATTGGTTAAGCACCTCTGTGTCCAATTCCTGGTATGTATGTATGTATGTATGTATGTATGTGTGTGTGTGTGTGTGTGTGTGTATATATATATATCCACCTACAAAAGCATGTGTGGGCCTAATAGAATTTACTGAAAAATCTGAGAAGGAAATGGAAGAAGTATTTTGCCTCTGTTTCCATTTAACAGTGGAAACAGTTTCAAATCACACAGTTGTCTTAGTAGGTCTTGCAGGTGCCTACCCACTGGGTAGCTGCACTGGCCCGTTTGCCAGGTGGGGTCCTGCCTCAGCCCCTGACTCCTCTTTTCTCCTTTCAAAAGTAACCCTGAGCTCTGCCCTTCCCTATCCCCTAAAAATCACACAAGCAGGCACCACCACCTATTTCTCTCCCTTTCTTTACAAAGTGACTCCCCAGGCACCTGCAGATCTCATTGGTTTTAGAGGGTTTTTTTTGTGTGTGTGACCCCAGTAAGGTATTCAAAGTTCCATTCTCAGAAACTTCCCTTTCTCACTGGAAATATGACAGAACTGTTAAAATATAACTTTTTTATGAAAATCTCGTTACACGACAAGAGCTGTTTACTTCAAGGGTTATCAATGTCCCTTTTGTTAAATTGCTATGCTATCGTTAAAAGACCTCCTTTCCCCTCTTTTCTGGGTTGCTCATGCTGCTACAATGTCCCATCTCTGTTAGTTCTTGAATTCTGTCCTTGTGTCCACTAGAACCAGCATATACCAGTATCAGTATATATGTCAGGATATGGACTCCCTCTGTGGTCAGTATTTCTAACATCTTCAAATTGGTTGTATTTCAAACGTCTTTCCCACAAGACAATCCTAGTTCACTTTTCTAACTGTAGTTCATAATTCTAAATTTCCTCTGATTTCTTCATCCTTCCTAGTATTGTGAGTATCCTGACAACTTCTCATCTGTGGCAAATGTTCCTCATTTTCTGGGGGCGGGAGGGGCTGATAATGGGACATGGCACAAATCATCCCGGTGATCTCATGCTGCTTAAGCAGCTCCTGTCCTGTCCCAACACAAACTAAAAACCGGGGGGCGGTGGGGGGGGGGTGCTGCTGATTCTCATTTTTGAAGGATGATGTCTAGTTTTATAAAAAAACAAGCTGAATAGCTACCAGTTTTTAATGTTTTTATTATAAAATAGTAAATAGCTCACAATGGCAATGTGACATAAAGATCCACCGATGAAGGATCAGAGTTCAGGGGGAAAAAAGTGTGGATATCCACACGAGGTGGAAGATGTCCATGATGTTAGCTGGGAATACTTGCCCCTTGGAGATAAAAGAATAAAATATCATACCATGAAAAGTAGATGCTTAAACAGAAGTTTTACTAACTCCTGAGAAAAGCCACTTTGGATACTTTCTTAAGATTTTCTCCTTTCCTCCACAGGCTTGGAACTCCTCAGCCTCCTATCAAACCAAAGAACCTAAGAGAAGTTTTCCTGGCCTTCCTTTCCCAGCAACACCACACTGTCCTCTTGGATAACAACAGCTTCCTTTTATCCATGATTACAGATACCTGCAGTCAACCTTCATCTGAAAATATTAATGGAAAGTTCCAGAAATATTGAATTTTTTAAAAAAAATCACAGCGTATGAATCATTCTGCTTTATTATTGTTTTCTGGACTCTTCCTGAATTCATAAATTAAAATCCATCATAGGTATATGTAGGAAAAATCATAGTCTGTATAGGAGGCAGTACTGTTCATGGTTTCAGACATCTATTCTACAGGGGTCTTGGAACATAAAACCCCTGCAGATAAACAGGGACTACGGCATTCCACTTTATAAAAAGAGTATAGTAATAATAATTTTTAAAAAACCTGACCACCAAAACTTCCCAATGACATACTGTTGGACTCAGGGTAGGAACACTGCACGGCAGGCTACCAGGGGCCAGGAGGAACCACACTGCTCAGGAGGAGCGGCTGTTGATCCTGTTCCTCTGGCACAAGGCGGTTCCTGCAGCTGTGTCTTCATCAACCCCCAGACTCCCTGCCGCTCCTCCAGCCTGGGGCCCTTAGGCAGCATCCTAGTATCGTGCCCAGCTGTGGCTTTCTCTGGCTACCTTGATCAACCCGAGTAGCCACATTTCTGAAATTAATCATTCTTTCTTTCTTCATTTCAGTGCTGATCATACTTAGGGCTGATTCAACAGCCTGCTATCACCAAGCCACATCCCTAGCCTCCTTTCTGGAAATTCCTGAGATTTTGGAGTTCTGAGGTTTCCATTTCTCATGGTTGAATAGTCATGGATGTATTTGGTTTTAAGCACATTTTCTGCCATCTGACTGGGGCTCTATGGGCAGAGAGGAGAAGCAGTAGTACTTCTCCGTTGGCAACAACAACAAAAAAAGTGTTACTGTGTCATTTTGCATTTCTTTGCTTCCTGGCTGGTTTATGGCATCCCTTTTATTTTTGAGGAGTAACTTTCTAGTTATCATCCCAGGGATGAGGTAGATCCTTGACACGATAAGACATGCTGACACAAAGAAGAGAGTTAAAATCATGACATCCAGGTGTGATATGCAAGATGGTCACTAAATACTCAATAGGAGGCACATCTGTAGTCCCAGCACTAGGGAGGCTGAGTCAGGAGGTTCATTTGAGCATAGAAGTTTGAGAGCAGCCTGGGCAACATAGCACCATCCTGTGTATTGAATCAAAGACCAGGAAAAAGCAAACAAACAAATAAAAAAACCAAGCCCCTTGCAAATTAGGTAGGTGCTATGGCCCAGGGAAGCACTTTGCTTTTGCACTGCTCCAAGAGTTACAAAGTTCTTCCTGAAAACTCGGTATTTTCCTTTCTTGCTGTCACCCTTGTTTGTAGTATCCTTTTCAGGACCTCAAAAGGTCACACCCTTCTCTAGATAACTTACCAAATGTTGTATTAGCCCTTTCTCCTATTTATGTGAAATCCCCCATCTCCTTTGGAATGTTTTCTGTTGTACCTTGTATCAAACAGGTCCCTTAGGGACAGAGGACTTGGTTTGGACCCTGCCTGCATTAACACAACCAGACTCTCCACAGTGCCTTGACTCACAGCAAACTTAAAAAAAAAGTGCTCCCCCCTTATTGTTTTTCTCCTTATCATAAATTCAGATAGTTTTTTTTTTCTTTCTTGTTATGTCGAGGATTGAACCCAGAGCCTGGTGCATGCTAAGCAAGTACTCTAACTCTGAGCACCCTCAGCTCAGCCCCCAGGTGGTCTTTTTTAAAATGTAGGAACCAGACTTTACATTGCACCTGTGTCATAGTTGACGCTTTTTGATTCGTCTCATCCATTCTGGGCTGTGAAAGGCTTTTGGGTCCTGATTCTTTACAACATTCACAGAGGAGTCAGTATTTTAGCTGCGGGTAAAATACTGAAGAGAGAGGCCCAGGGCCAAGCCAGGCCACACATGCTCTAGCAGCCCAGAGAATTAGGAGAGAAAAGTGGCAGCTGTGGCCAAAAGGACAAAAGTGCATGGCGTGTGTGTGTGCTATCGTCACTCCCTTTAACGCAAAGCACGAAAGTGCGAGAAACGCAACATGTCCCAAATCAGGCCTTGGCTCGCAGCGGCAGTCAGAAAGACCACAGCCCCTTTAAATGGGATGCTCTGTTGGGCTCTCCCTGTCTCCATTTTGCTGACCAACATGGGGCAGGTACAGAGTGAGGACTGAGTCACTATGCACCTGTTCTGCCTTCTCAAGTCCTTTACCCACTTCTGAAATAGAAAACAGGTCAATGTGGAAATAGGGCTTTGGTCAGGAGTTCCCTGTTGAGAAAGCTATGCCTGATTGACACCCACCTCACTCGGCCTCAGAAGGACATGTGGATGTCAGTCACACCGTGTGCCACAGGACAGTGGAGCATCTTGGACAAATAATCAGGAACAATTTAGTTGGGATGATGCTTTTTTTTCCCTGAAGTTATATAACTTTGAAACCAATGCCTGAAGATGCAGAGCTATTATTTACAGTTATCACGAATAAATCTTTTATTTTGTGGTGTTGGAGAGCTTTGTATGTGCAAGAAAAAAGCTCTACCTTCTGAGTTATAGCCTCAGCTCATGACCACATCTTTAAAAAAAAAATCATCATACATACTCGGACTACATACATATGCTGGCCTCTGGTAATCGATGTGTTCTTTGAAATTCTGGAAACCAAATAAAAGTAGTTATAAGCTAAATAACTATTTTTATTCCCTAGACGATTTATACACCAGAACTGTTAAGATTTACAACATAAAAATGCTTCCATCCTTATTACCCACTCTTTAAAAGCAGCCTTTCATCTAATAAACTGGGTCAGTGACTCAACTATCTGCATCCCTGTGTCACACTTAAAAGGGAGATGACTAGAGGCAGATCAATGTCAGACAGCCTGGTTTATCTACTTTAAAAAAATTATAGAAAAACTATATTTTAAAGAAAATGATATAGCAGTGAATATTAGCAAATTAGTCTCAGAAAAGAAAATCCGTCGTTATTTTTTCTCTCTCTAGAAGGTTTCTGAAGTTGTTAGAGTCTAGAAAACAAACGATCTGCTCATGTACACTTCCATTTTTCCTTATTCAGAGGGGGAAAGTGCCTGGTATCGGTAAAAAATAAACTTCAATAAGTACTTGGATCACTTAAAATTGCTTTTCCATTTTCCATTCAAATCAAGTGCCATGGAACAGAATGTCTGTGTTGTCACCAATCCTTTATTGAAACTGGCAACTTACACGCTTTATAATAGAACAACAAAAATAATGTCCGATATATACAGCCTTCGTGTGGACTATGTGACTATACACAGGGAAGGGTGAGAACATAACCTCATCTTCATCATAGTTTGTGCACACAAAGACGCCCAGCAGACAACATGTGCACAGGACAGTGAAATGACAACACGAGTCCAGTGAAAACTCTGTATCATACAAAAACATATTCATCTATTGCAAATGACAGCTTCCTAAATGTCCAGCTCTTAGTCAGTAGTAATTTACCCGGAGTCTGAAGCAGAGATTGGTTGTGTGGCTATGAGTCTCTTAAGTGAGACCACCTCTGCAGATAAGTTTGCTATCCCCTGCTTCAAGTACAAATTCTCCGCATCGGAAACTTTGTAGCCACTGTCTTTAATTTCCACCACTCCAGTTTTGAAACCATTCTGAGTTTTGCCACTCAGTTCTTTGGGATGCCAGTGTTCCGATCTGAGGGACCAATCTTGAATGTTTGTCACTTGCACTGAGAAAGGCGTGAGGGAAGAATGTACCATACTCCGGGGACTATGCTTTTCAAGTTCAAAATGTCTTTTCGACGTCATGTCGACGGGCGAGGAAAGTTTTTGTGTGGCCTCGAAATCATTATCGAAGGCTTCGACTTTGATCTGCATGGCTTTGGCTTTGATCCGAAGCTTGTGCGGCAAGGCAGAGGAGTTCACTTCGGGGACTTTCACCACGGTCGCATGCCCACGTTTCAGTTCCACTGGAGAATGGATGGGGCCCTTGGGAACCTGCTGCTCGTCCTCCCCGTCGGAGGACTTGCCCACGACACCGTCGTCGGCTTCTGAAGTTCTGGGAGAGTTGCTGGAGGATCTGTTGACTTGCAGGAGAGGTGGAGAGTGCGAGTAGCCAGAAAAAGAACTCCCCAGATAGTTGTGATAGACGGAGGCTGCATAGGGGCCCCGGTCATCTCTGGGCTCCCTTGCATAGTTGTCGAGCTCCATGGGCTCTCGCTTGATGGCGTGGAACTTGTTTTCAGGACTTCTGCAGCTGCCCTGCCCAGGGCTCTCCTGCGTGTGTTCCACGGAGGACACCTCGGACACGTCGGACAGAGAGCTCTGCGGAGAGTGCTTGATGACAGAAATGCAACTGCTGGACACGACGGAGGGTTCGTGCTCCTCCACAAAGGAGCCCACGGTGCCCTTGGAAGTCTGGTAGTCTTGAAAGTAGACGGCTGGAGAATTACTGAGTTTCTGAATCTCTTGAGCATACGCCGTGGAGCTAATCAAACCAAACTTTAATTTCAGGGAAAGCAGTTCTGCTTTTAAAGTGGCGTTTTCTTCTCCCAGCGCAATTAGTTTGTTCTCTAAGACCAGGTCATTGAGCCGGCGCTTCTCCCGAGATCTCTTGGCCGCTTCATTGTTTTTCCGCCTTTTTTCCCAGTACATAGCATCTTTCTTCTCATCGGGAATGAATTCCCGCTTCCTCCGACAGGCGGAAGATTTGTTCTTCCCCACGCTGCCTTCGTTCAGAAGCAGCTCTTCGCCTGTGGCCAGGTCCTCCGTGGCTTCAGTTAAGGCAGAACTCAGTACCATCCCTTTGTCCCCGGGGCTGGTGGTATCCAGAGATGCCTGCTCCTTTTTGATGGTCTGCATTTTTCTCAACTGCATCAGAAACAACCTGGCCCTATAAATGCAGAGAAGAACAAGTGATTTCCCCAGGATTCTGAACAGCTTTGGGAACTGGCTTCAAATCCATCAATACTCTTGTCCTACTGTCGGAGATTCACCTGCCAGGCTCCTCTTATTGAACAGAGTAGGGTCTTCCTGGTGATCTGCAATATACGAAAAGAGATAGTTATTTATTCGGACAAATCTTCGTTGCCAGTTATGTAGAGGGGACTGTGCTCAGCATTTAGGGAATATAGGCATGGCGATTCTTTCCTTGGAAGAGCATGCAATCTTTTTTTTTTTTTTTTAATCATTTTTCGTTGTAGATGGACATAACATCTTTGTTTATTTTTATGTGGTACTGAGGATCAAACCCAATGCCTCATACATGCTAGGCAAGTGCTCTACCACTGAGCTACAGCTCTGGCCCCAACAGCATGCAATCTTGAAAAGGAGGAAATACCCAAATACCTCTACTGTCAAGCCATGAAGGACCATCTACAAGAGATTAAGTGGTCCAAGAGAATGAGAAACCAAACAAAAATAAATAAAATAAAACCACCTTTGTCCTGGGAAAAATAGTGGAAGCCTGTGTCTAATAAGGGAGAAATGGTTGGGTGTGGCAGGTGGCGGTGAGCCATTATAGGAAGGAAATTACAGATAGCCTCCAGTTGGTAAGTTTCTAAATAATACTCGCATATTGTGTTGTTTCTGAATAATTTTTGATAACCCTGCCACCATTGCTGAACAAACATGGTCACCTCTTCAAAGGAACATTGCTAGGTAAACTCTTTTAAGACCCATGAATAAGTTCTGCAGTCATACTTGGAAGAAAACATAAATGGAATTACATTTTTTGTACCAGGGATTGAACTCAGGGGCACTTGACCACTGTGCCACATTCCCGGTCCTATTTTGTGTTTATTTAGTGACTGGGTCTACTGAGTTGCTTAGTACCTTGCCATTGCTTGAGGCTGGCTTTAAACTTGCGATCCTCCTGCCTCAGCCTCCCAAGCCACTGGGATTACAGGCCTGGTGCCCTTGCACCCAGCGGAGCTAAATATTTTACTTCCAAAGAAACTAAAATAAAAGCCACGTTAACAACAGTTATTACTGATTTTAATCTGTTTCATGTAGACATAAACCTGCCTGTCATATCCCTGACTGCCTGGTGGGCTTAGAGCCCAGTACATTCCAACGAGTGACTCACACCAGACCTGAATGAAAAGGATTCCTGTCCATAAAGCCGTCACTTCAGAAACACCTGTGCTCATGAGATTAGAAATGTCCCTTTTCCTGACTTCCTTCAAATTGATTTATCAAACAATCAAGATCAAAGCCTCCAACATTTTTTTGTGTCCTGAAAATTCTGTTATTGTAGATTTCCGTTATAGAGTAGCTTTGAGACTAAAATGAATAGTCACTGTTCAAAGGGATTTATTATTATTTTTTTAAAGTCCAGGGCCATTTTGAAACTTCAAATTAAACCAAGATAATATAGTTGTGGAAAGAACTTCTTTCAATTTTACTAATTAGTTTCAAATAAAATATAACAACTCAGAAATAGAATCATCAACTAATTTCTTCTCTCTTGGGTGACATATTTATAATATTCATTTGGCCTGACATTTTTTTTTTTTTTTTTTTTTTTTGAGGTGCCAGGGACGGAAGACAGGGCCTTTCTACAACACATGGTAGGTAAGCACTCTACCACTCTACTTCCAGCCCCAACACTTTCTTTGATGTGAGATAATAAATCTGTATTATGTGCCCAAAAGCACTCTTTTCACAGTGGTTTTGGGGCCTATGTTTGCAGACACTGATTCTATAGTTTTCCAGTTGATAATCCTTTTTGTAAGGCAGATGTGGACAACAACTCTTCTCTTGCTCCAGTTGTCTAGCTCCATCCCACCGGATTGTAAAGATGTCGTGTTTTTAGGGCTGGGGTTGTGGCTCAGTGGCAGAGCGCTTGCCTTGCATATGTGAGGCACTGGGTTCAATTCTAAGCACCACATAAAACTAAATAAACAAATAAAGACATTGCACCCATGTATAACTAAAAAAAATTTTTTTATAAAAGATGTAGTGTTGGGGCTGGGGATGTGGCTCAAGCAGTAGCACGCTCGCCTGGCATGCGTGCGGCCTGGGTTCCATCCTCAGCACCACATACAAAGATGTTGTGTCGGCCGAAAACTAAAGAATAAACATTAAAAAATTCTCTCTCTCTCTCTGTCTCTCACTCTGTCTTTAAAAAAAAAAAAAAAAAAGATGCAGTGTTTTTGTTTTACATCACTATTTTTTTTTCTTATGCATAGTTTTACAATGACTAGTGAAGTTTAATTTTATCAATTGTAAAAGCCTGCCAGATCCTTTTGTCTTTTCCAGTAGCAACAGAAGGCATGATGTCATGATTTTAGGATCATAAAGACTAAGGTTTCATGCCATTTTTCTGTCCACTAAACTGAGGAAACACAGTCCAGGAAACTGCTAGTCACAACTTAGAAGTGTGACTGTTAACACTAAGTTTGTTTTTTTGATAATGACACTTTAAAGAGCAACAGTGGCCAGGCATGTGTCACAGTAGGCAGGGATCAGGGATATGGCAGTAATGGAATCTTTCTATTGATCACTTGGTGAAACATGATTTCCCATCATTTCCATTCAGGTTTTGTCTTTGAACGTGACAACCTATTTTGCACTATGGATTTCTTGCTCGAGTGTGTACTGCCATTCAGTCAGGTCCTCACCCCAATAGTGAAATGGGTAGCAAAACAAAGAGTGAGAAACTCTAGCTAATGAAGCCCAGAGACCTTATCTTATCCCAGGTGCCTTTCAAAGCTGCACTGAATCCTCAGGTTGTGCTTCTTTTAACTTCGAGTTTTTTTAACATCACACTGTATCTTGCACACTATTATTCTGGGTATTTTTTTTTTTTTCCATTTGATAATTTTTCTCTTCCATGCATTTTTAAAACCTGTCTTTTCTTTTTTTGGTGAGGTTGGGGGGGGATGTACCATGGATTGAACTCAGGAGCACTGGACCACAGAGCCCCATCCTCAGACCTATTTTATATTTTCTTCAGAGACAGGGTCTCACTGAGTTGCTTAGCATCTCGCTTTTTCTGAGGCTGGCTTTGAACTTGTGGTCCTCCTGCCTCAGCCTCCAGAGCCACTAGGATTACAGGCGTGCACCACTGTGCCTGGCTCCTTTTCTTTTTTTTAGAAAAAAATCACATTTCCTTTACATTGTCCCACAATTCTTAGTTAGCCTTCCTAAACGTTTGTGACTTTTCCCCACATTGAGTGATGGGAACCTTTTTCAACCTCCTGGCCCCAAACTGTGTGCTACTTACAGGAACACGTGGTGTGTCAGGGGCAGGCAGACATCAACATGCTGCACAGATAGCTGTCATTTAGCTAAGGTAGGCCCCATGTCTTAAAATTCCTTTACCCCTTTCTTCTAGATGTCTAAGAACTGTATGTCCAACTTATCATCTCCACAACTTTGTTGGTCCATGAAAACCTACAAACAGGCTCATTTCATTTTAATCATCTTCTTATTTGATTCTTACCACCTGTTACTATGAATCTGGACATCCTCCCTGTCTCTACAACTCAACTGGCAAACACGTCCTGCCATCTTAGGATCTTTTCTGTATGTAACATTATGTATCAAATAATCTTGCAGTGGTGGGAAGAGTGTGTCAGTCCTGTGAGATAACAAAAAGGCACCAATTGCATATACTGTGTATCTTTCTAGGTGTTTCTTCTATGTCCAACTAGACTGTGGAGGGCTTCAGGGAGGAAACTGAAATATATTTGTATTCTTCTAGCAACAAACTGAAGATATGAGGTACTCGACATTGGATTGATGGTCATCCATTCACCTTACAGAAGAGTTTTATAATCACAAAAGTTTTTGGATGTTTCCTTTCTTTGAGATAAATTCCATTTATCATTTAATATTACTGTGTGAATAAGGGAAATTGTTTTTTAACAGAGCTTCTCTTATTTATTATTTGGTTTATTCAACACATATGGAGAACCTACTGTGTACTGAGCTACACTGGGCCCATATAAAAGGGAAAGAAAACCAAACCCCCAAAAGCCCAGTCCTTGCTGTCAGAACTGGCAGCCGAACACAAGAGCCTAGCCAGAATTAAGGTGCATGGACAGAGTTCCCACAACAGAGTCTGGGGCAAATGCCCTGTGGACTCTTGTATGCTGCCTTTTTCTTGTCACAAGGACAATAACAAAAATAATCATCATAGGTGCTATTTATTGAACACCTACTATGCCCCAGGCACTGCGGGGACTGACCTGCTTTATTTCATTAACCTTCCCAACAACCACTTTCACAGGAGAAAATTCAAGTTCAAGGAATCACACAGCTTGTTAAATGGCAGAGATCTCAGCCCAGCTCAGCCCTGGCTACAGTTTCTTTGTCAGTAGCCTCTCCCACACTGGCACAGGGCTGCCCCACATCCCTGCAATGCAGTCTCATCCCTACACAGTCCTGGCTGTGTTCCTCCTGCTTCTGAGTCATGCATTCCCAGTCACTAAGTTTCTCGGGAATTAAGGCACTTTTAGTTGCTGTCTTAGCTTCCAGATGTTGTCCTAAACCAACAAAGGTACCTACTCCCTGGAACTATTTCCTATGTTCCTTGGTGTTGTTTCATATCCTGGTGGTACTTAAGGAATGGAGAAAACATTTGATTGATTTTCACATCTCTGCTAAATTTAATCTCCAGGATCCTACCTAGGTTAAGATAAAGGAAAAGAAATACAGCTGTGGACATTGTCACCTGTGATTTGTTTTTTTTTTTAAACAAAACCCAAACTGTATCCATTTCAACAGAAGAGAACAGAGTCTCTCTAACCCTGGTGTAACTCTCGTGCAGAGGAACCAGATAAATCCCAGGGACTGAGTAAGGAGGCAGAGATTATGCAGCAGTCCAAAGCAGAGATGAACTCTGGACTCTGTTTACATCTCCTAACAAAGAACTTAAGGCAAGTGCAAAAGTGGTTGACGAAGCCTTCTAAAAGCATCAGCATTTACGCTCACCCAACAACTTTATTTCAAATCCCAATATTTTCCTTTATGATTAATTTGACAATTACTTCATCGGTGCGTCATCTTTGCAAATCAACATTTAATGCTGCGG